CCTTGCCCTCCACCTCCTTCCCCCCTCCAACGTATAGTGGTGGTGGTGGTGGTTGATAGCGTTTCACCTTTGATTGGCCTGTTTTCCACCACCACCATAAGTTGGAGGGGGAGGGGGTCCTCCTCCTCTTCCTCCTCCTCCTGCTCCTCCTCCTCCTCCTCTCCTCCTCTCCTCCTCCTCCTCCTCCTCCTCCTCCTCCTCCTCCTCCTCCATCCTCCTCCTCCTCTCTCCTCCTCCTCCTCCTCCTCCTCCTCCCCACCTCCTCCTCCTCCTCCCTCCGCCTCCTCCTCTCTCCTCCTCCACCCTCCTCCTCCTCCTCCTCCTCCTCCTCCTCCTCCTCCTCCTCCTCCTCCTCCTCCCTCCTCCTCCTCCTCGTCCTCCTCCTCTCCTCCTCCTCCTCCTCGCCCTCCACCTCTTCTCCTCCTCCTCTTCCTCCTCCTCCTCCTCGCCCTCCACCTCCTCCCCCGCTCCAACGTGATGGTGGTGGTGGTGGAAGACAGGCCCCTCAGCCTCGGCCCTTGGTCTTTTGGGCCGCGAGAGCTCTCGGCCCTGCGCCGGCCGTGCGGGGCACATCCTACATGGTGGCACCTCCCGAGCGCCCCCCCCCGCGCGGCAGAGGCGCAGCTGCCGGAGAGAGCAGCCTCCCGAGGCCGGGCGTCGGCAAAACTGGGTTTGGTGGAACCTGGTCAGTGATTTGTACCGGGGGCGGCCCCCCGTCCCATGTCCACTAACCCCGGAGCTGCCGTCACCCGAAAAACACTGGTCACGGCAAACCTGGTTCAGGGAATCTGGCCACTTGAGGGGCCCCAGGGCCCTACCACTAACCGGGTCCCCTTACCCGGGGTCCTGGCTATACCCGACCGAGGCCGGGGAGCCGCCGAGGAACCGGCGAGGAAGCACGGAAGCTTGAAGATGTCTTCCGCTGGGATTAGGTCGGGCATGTCCCCCTACAGGGGGCATTATTTTGGACGAGAAATCAGACATGCTCAAGACATACTTCCAAACTGTTTAAACAATGCTCACAGAATCGACCCCGTACGTTTTTTTTTGGCTATTTTTGAATGTTCCCGCTGTGGAGGGACAGGCCCGACGTAACCCTGGGAGGCTGGTGAGCCGCCGAGGAACCGGCGAAGAAGCACGGAAGCTTTCAAAGGGCCCTGGGACACGCACACACACAATCACACACAATCACACACACAACACACACAACACACAACACACAACACACACACACACACACAACACACACACAAACACATACACACAATTAAAAAATTTGTCCATATGCTCCCAAATTTTCTGGGTTTTTGTCTTCCCCCGGGACTAGGTCGGGCATGTCCCCTACAGGGGGATGTTGGACGAAAGACCCGAAATGCTTAAGAAAAACTCCCAAATAGCAAAAAAAGCTGAAACCCCGTACAAATTTTTGGCTATTTTTGAGTGTTCCCCCTGTGGAGGGACGGGCCCGACTTGACCCTGGGAGGCTGGGGAGCCGCCGAGGAACTGGCGAAGAAGCACGGAAGCTTTCAAAGGGCCCTGGGACACACACAAATACAAACACATACACATATATAACAGGATTTCCCATATGCTCCCAGGTTTTCTGGGTTTTTGTCTTCCACCGGGATTAGGTCGGGCATGTCCCCTTACAGGGGGATTTTCGACGAAAAATCAGAAATGCTCAAGAAAAATATCCAAATAGTTTAAAAAATGCTCAAAAACATCTACCCCGTATTTTTTGGGGGACTATTTTTGAGTGTTCCCCCTGTGGAGGGACAGGCCCGACTTGACACTGGGAGTCGACAGGACCGACGAAGAAGCATGGAAGCTTTAAAGGGGCCCTGGGACACACAAACAAATATACACACAAATATAACAGGATTTCCCATATGCTCCCAGGTTTTCTGGGTTTTTGTCTTCCCCCCCACTTCCCATAGTTTCCCACATCTTCCTGGGAATCGACGATGACTTGTGTCTGTGTGCTTTTCCCCCTCACTGAAGCCCTCGGGAGCCGACGCCGCGAGCAAAAAAAAAACATCGCGAAGGATCGCGGCCCGAGCCCTGGGCCCCAGCCATTCTGCGGCAGTTTTCCGAGCCGGACCAGCCTGCGATGCTCCCGCGGGGTCCGACACCGGGCGAAACCGCCAGCTGGACAAAGTTGCGACGCCCGGCTCTCAGGGCGAAGACAGGGCTTCGAGCGCCGAGGGCCGTGTCGGTGAACATCCGCGGCTCCTTCAGGGCGCTGGACGCCGGTGCCCCGCTCTGCATGGCGCTCCGCATGGACTCCGCCAGCTCCCGGTCCGCGGCGCTCAGGCCCTCCTGCGCAGGGAGACCCCAGCCACGCGCAGAGGGGGGGGGGAAGGGGGGAGGGCTTCTTAGAAACACCCCTGCCTCTTTTGAGCAGGGACCGACCGTCCCGGCATTCCTATAGTCCTACCACGGCATGTTCTTAGAACCCGACAATGTTCTAAAAGCAAAAACAATGAATGTTCTTAGAACATAGACCCGATGTGATTAAACAACTCCGCCAGAAACGTTCTAAGAACATGTTGTGGAAACCACAACAAGTTCTTAGAACATTGTTTGGTGGGACTATAAGCGAGCCGGGACGCTTCGCCACTGCTTGACACTTAGAAGGCGCGGGCCTTATCTCTAGATGTAGGTGTAAGGCCGGCGCCTTCTAAGAAGCAGCCTCCTTCTAAGAAGCCCTCCCCACTCCTTCCACCCCCTTTGTGCGCGCCGCCAAAAGGCCCCAGGCCCTAGGCCCCCTCGCAGCGAGAACCAAAGCACGACCCGAGGTTTTTCGCTCTTGTCGGCCTCTGGGGGCCCTCGCTGGGCTGCAGGACTGCCAGAAAACCGACTCTGGATGAAGGGCTGTGCGAGGCATGGGTTTATCCATATCCACCGCCTAGGAACCGACGTCCTGGTGCCCCAGCGGGCGGTGGACATGGACGTACTTCGGCCCCCTGGGGGGCCCGAATATGCCCATACCCACCGCCTGCCGACGCTCCGAAAACTGACCCTCCAGGCGGTGGGCATGCAGAAATTCCCGCCTCGGAAGCTGGCCCCAGGGAAGGGGAGGGAGGGAGGGAGGGAGGGAGGGAGGAGGGAGGAGGGAGGAGGGAGGGAGGGAGGGAGGGAGGGAGGAGAGAGGAGGGGAGGAGGGAGGAGGAGGAGGAGGAGGAGGAGGAGGAGGAGGAGGAGGAGGAGGGAGGAGGAGGAGGAGGAGGAGGGAGGAGGAGGAGGAGGAGGAGGAGGAGGAGGAGGAGGAGGAGGAGGAGGAGGAGGAGGAGGAGGAGGAGGAGGAGGAGGAGGAGGTCGAGGCTCCAGCCTGCAAAAGCATCGTGGCGTCGGGGTCCGGGACCGCAGCGGAGGGACGGGAGGGGCCCCGAGGTGCCCACGAGGTTCCGGCGCTGCCTCTTTGCGCACCAGGCGTCTTCGCCCTGCTTCGGGCCCCGAGATCCTCACGGACCGATCCGGCTCGCACAGGGGCCGCAGAAAGAAACAGGGCAGTTTTTAACAAGTCGGACTTTTAATCATATATGATTTTCATGATACATTCATGAATCAATGTATACATGAACTCATCGTTGCTTTTAAACTAAATCCCTGCATTTTTAATACATGATCCGCACGCGGAGCATGTATAAAAAACGGCACTGTAGGGTCTAGGGTTCGGGTCGTGACCTTTCTCGCGGTGTTGTGGTCTGTTCGCGACGTCGGATCCCAGACGGCTTCAACACGAGCGCCGCCGCGTGAGGCCCAAACAACCGCGGGCTCTTACATTCGCCAATGGGCTGTATTTTCATTCCCTTCTCCGTCGCCCTGGCCTTAAGTCGGGCCTGTCCTCCTACAGGGGGGGTTTTGGACGAAAAACAAAACATAGTCCAAAAATGCCCCCGAATTGTCAAAAACTGCTCAACAAATCGTCCCTTGACTATGTTTCAACTATGTTTGAATATTCTTGCTGTAGAGGGACGGGCCCGACTTAACCCTGGCCTCCTCCTCCCCCTCCTTCCCCTCCCTGGCTCCCCCTCAGCAAGCTTTCATCTAGACCCCAAAAACGACATAAACAGAAACTTTTGGCGCTCCGCGCGAATTTCTCGGATCCGCGCGGAGCGCCGAAAGTTTATGTTTATGTTGTTTGTTGTTCTTCTTCGACCCTCCTTCCCCTCCCTGGCTCCTCCCAGCAGGCTTTCATGCGTAAGTTGCTTGTTGCCGAAACGCCGTTTGAGCGCCAGGCTTGACTGACCGGGGACGGACAAGAGAGGGGCGTCAAAGAGGGGGGGGCGCAAATCATGGCCGGCGGCATGTGCGCGGCCCAGGAGGGGAGCGGGGGACGCATTGAAATGAGAAGGGGCGCCATGACGTCTGGGGAAATATCATGGCCCCCGCCATGATATCCCCCCCCCTAGTCTTGTGGATGCCACGGCAATGGACACCCTAACAGTCCTATCATCGAATTAAAACTGTGTTTAAACATGTCGGAACGGTGTCCTGAAAATGTGTAGAACATGGCTTTTTGCATGTTTAAAACATGTCTAACACATGTTTTAGACATCTGGAAAGTATTTGGCAACAAGCTTCCTCTTCATTTCATATTCCATCGCCCTCCACAACCCTAGTCGTCTTGGCCGCCCCCGAACTGAGCCTCCAGCCTGCGGAGTTCCCAGAGGCCTCCGAGGGCTCCCGGGAGGCCGCCCAGAGGCGCAGGCCAGGCACGTCGGTCGTCTGCTCAGGAAAGAAGGCGCGCCAAGCAGCGCCTCTATCCAGGCACTTCGAGGGTCGAGGGGGGGGAGGGAAGGGGGGGGGCAAAGCAGAGGGAAGATGCCGAAAACCTAGATCATTCCTCGCTCCTCGAGGGTCGGGGGAGGGGAGCAGGGGGGACGGGGGGCCGGGGGCATGAGGAAGGCGGGGCGGGGGGGGGGGGGGTAGGAAACGAACAATGGCATGAACATGAAAATTCGGAGGTCCGCGCGGATGAGGGTAGGGAAACGAACAACGACATGTACGTGAAAACTCGGAGGTCCGCGCGGAACTCTCGGATCGGCGCTGGACACCCCTCCCTGGCGCGCTCCGCGCGCCAGGGACGGCGCCGGAGGCGCAGCCAGGGGGCCCCGGCGCGGATCCGAGGAATCCGCGCGGCGCTTCGAGTTTTTATGTTTACGTCGTTGCTTGCTCCCCTGTGGGGGGCCAAGAGAATCGAAATATCAGATATAAGTGATAGAAATCAAATTTTCCGATGGAGGTGATAGAAAATCAGATTTTCTGATCGGGAAGTTGTGTTGGTTCGAACGTGATTCCGATACTGATCCAATAGTGTTCCGATAACGGATGTGTAGTTGTCATCAACCATATAGTTTCCGATACTGTTCCGATAGTGGTGCGGTGGGGGCTGTGAATCATATACTGTTCCGATAGTGGTATGGTAGTGTTCAGGTCCCGGCGTAATGCCGATCGTCGATCTGAGTGCGTTCGAGTCCGGTTCGGTGGTTGTCCAACAGTGGTGTGGTAGCGATCACCAATCATATCATGTTTCGGTGGTCCAATACCGATGTAAAATCAAGGTGAGGGGGCAGAACGGTCTTACACCTTCCCTGGGTGCATGGCTAAAGTGAAGTCTCGCTGCGCGGATTCGTATTGTTGCTGTTGTCGACGCCCCATCCGCGACCCGTCTCGAAACGAAAAATGAAGACCATGAGTAGGGCGCATCTCAGCCGCCGAATGTAATATTATCGTCGCGAAAAGGGGTGTCTCGTTTCCTTGGTCCCAATTTACGGAACCGAGACGCTTGATTTTCGAGACGCGTGATTTCGAAACGCGATTCGAAGACGCGGTGCATCTCGAGGCCGTGCCGCTCACCCCTCGGTCTTATCCGCGCTGCGGGGGCTTCTATGTCATTTTACCCTAGCGTGAGTTTTTAAATGTATGTGTATGAGGTCGGTCGGTATATTGCTGACTCGCAGATATCAACAAGTCGCCCAAAGGGGCCCCCCACCCATGGCATATTGCGAAGGCCTTACGGTGCCGCCGACCCTGAAGGGGAACAACGACGACGGCGGCGGCGGCGACGACGACGACGCTGACGTGGGTCAGAGTCCTCAGGGATTCTTCTTGGGGTCTCTTGGCATCTGATGTTTCCCTGTTGTCTGGCAGTAGCAGTTTGCGCGCTGGGAGTACCCAGCATCATGCTAGGAAGCTCCATGCCCGATCGTGGCGTCGCGCGCGCGTGCTACGGTGCCAAAGAACCGCGCACGTCAAATCAATATCCAGCGTCAGGGCTCTGGGATCCAAGCGCCGGCGGCATTTGGCGAAACCAACAATGCAGAGCCGTTGTTTCCAAAAAATCTCGTCAGACGCTCAGCCAGACAACGAAGTTGCCCTCCTCTCCCGGTCACAACGCAGGAAAAAGGCAACGCGCCAAGATTCGAGCACTTTGCTTCCCACGCGCACACCCGTCGTGCCAGCAGCGCAGGATCTACCACAACGGGCGATTTTGCCCATGAAATCTTCAAACATGTACGCCCATGTGAACTGAGGGTTCAGAAACTTTGCGAGCGCAATCATATGAAAGAAGAAATGTAGTTTGAACGTGCGGTTGTAACACAGATGGTTGTGATCGAGGCTATACTTCGTCAAGAAGTTGTAATGCAAAATAAATTTGTTCCCGAACTCATCCAAGCGCCGAAATTGGTCATCAGTGAGTACACCATCGCTTTCGTAAATCACTTTGTGGGCGCCGTCCAATGCTTCATAAGCGGCAATGCGGTGCAGGTCGCGCCGGCTGCCCCTGTTGATCGAAGGATCTTTGACAATTTCCAAGACTACTGGAAGCAATGCTCGTGCATGGGCAGCTTTGCATGACAGACAAGCAAAACCGCCTGGAGTTGTGAAGTTATCCGCTTTCAAATCTAAGATCCGATTTTTGGTTATCTCTAAAGCATCATAATGGAAGCACAACTTACTCCATAGCCACCCCAGTTTTATTGCATTTGTCCCAGGAAGCGGCGAATCGTGAATGATCTCCCAAAATGTAGAACCTATGAGATTGGGGGATAAGCCCAAATCCACAATATGCATCCACTCGCCGGCGCAGCAGAAGCGAGACATCCCAGGGATCCGCCAAACAGGATGGGAGGATGGCGGGGTTGACACGCCCTCGCGGGAACTGAGAACTGTGGACTTCCAAGCGGCATGCCTCGACACATCTCGGACATTGCGGTCAGTGCGGTTGGCTCTGCACAGCCAGCAAGGGTCGTTCCCATTAAAATGAGCCAAGCCAAGATCGTTGCTCCCATATTCCATGTCCACGCAGCAAG